AGTCTTTATTAAATTATTTTTATTATTATATTTTGGATATAATATAAAGAACAAAATAAGGTTTAAATTTAGTGATCAATAATTAAGAAAATCAGAATTTAATATACATTTAATATATATTCTCAATTAATTCCGCATATTAATTAAAAAATTTTGACAACATATTCCATAATTAGTTAAAATATAGGATTAAATAATTTGCAGCATCTCTCATATTCATAAATTATAATAATGTCTAAAACAAAAAGTTATGAAAATGGAATTAAATCAATGATCACTGAAATTAAGAACTAAATTCATCAATCTTTAAGATAAAATAGACTCTAAATTGTAGAAGTTAAAAAGTTTGATTTTGAAATTAAGTCAAATCTACTTTCTATTAGATCTAATCATAGAAAAAGTAATGAAAACTAATCAACATAAAGTAATTATTCAAGAGAGAAACAATCAAAAAGGAGATTAACTCTTTAGCCCTTAAGAAATAAAATTTCAAGATCCCCAAAAATAATATAAGAATCGCTAAGAAAAGACCAAATAGAAAACAAAGAGAGATTAATGAAAAAGAAAAAATTAGAAATAAAACCTTGGACCATCTCAACTACAAACCCAACAGATTGATGATGAAATATTTTATTTTGTTTATACAATTTCTATTCTATATAATTAGTTTATAATTGATTATTAATAATAATATTCAAATACTTAATGAAATAAATAATAAATATTTTGATTAATCAAAATCATTAAATATTAATTTTATTTATGATAATTATTACTAGTTTAGATTCCATAATTTGAAAAATTTAATCAAATCCAATAATGGATGAAATACTTAAAAATTCTTAGTATTTTCTTATAATATCAGATACTTTTATTCGATGGGTAATTCAAACACGACTATTATTTAATGGCCATAAATAGTCAGATATTATAATTGGAAAGATTTAATCTTAATGGACACTTTTTATTAAATTCAATTGAATTTCATATTTATCATAACTATTTCTTTAATTTTATAGATGTTATTGATTTATTCCAATCTTAGTTTTAAATTCAAATTCCTTTTTCTTTGCAGTAAAAAATTAAAATAAATTTATGAATAGTTACTTTGCCTTTAATATTTTAGATTGGTTTGACTCATTGAAAAGTATCAATAGATATAATATATTACAATATTACATCATGAATAATCTTATTAAGATTTCTTATGACCAAATAAATTCTATTACCGCTTGTTTTTTCAGCCTAAGTGAAATTTTCCAGATTATTTCTTCTTCTTTAGTATAAATTTGAAATGATAATTTATAAAAGATTTTTAATATCAAAGAATATATTTCAATCTTCAATCTAAATTTTGAATAAAAATTGGTTTATTGAAATAATATTTAAAATATATAAAAAATAATCAAATGATTCTTATTTGTTCATTATTTTTTCATGTATTTTCTTACTTATATTTAACCAGTATGATAATCCCAAGTAATTAGATATTCACCATTATCACTCATTGTTCCAAATATACTTTATGTTTTAAATTGTATACTTTGCAATAAATTAAATTGCATATCCTATTCTTACTCTGATTTAGTACTACTAATATGAATAATATTAATAGTTTGACCATTTTTGGATAGGATAATTTACTTCTAGGGAATATAAATACAAGAAAAATATTCATAACAGGATTCATTACCTCCTTTGACTGGAATATCTTAGGATTTGTTATAGTCTCCTGATAACTTATTGGAAGTGTAGATTTGAAGGTAATTTGATTTATATGGTTAAAATCCGAAGATTCCATCTGAAATGTACGCTAATCTAGCACCATTATTATCTACATTAATTGTTTTAATAATTATCCATTTTTATGTATTTGAACCCTTCATAACCAAGATTATATTATTATTTCCACATGAAATTAATTCATTTCCATTTTAATTCAATGATAATCCAAGATAAACTGAATTTTCATGGCTTATTGTTTAATATTAAACCCATTATTAGTGCTATGCAATTTCAGAATAAGAAGACCAAAATTCTATAGAATTTGAACCACAAATTATTAGATCTTCACTAGGGTGAATGACTAGACAATTAATACTATCAGAACACTTAGGTAATTTTACTAAATATTTTGAAGAAGAAATATTAGTTTATGGCCAAAGTGTTAGCAAGGCATCATATGAACCAGAAATAAAATTTTGTTTTGTCTTAAAATAATTAAGAGTAGTTATATCACCAGAATTATTAAGAATTTTCAATAATCTCAATACACCATCTTAGAATTGAAATAATTTAATTTAAGTATAATCGCCTGCTATTAATTATTTATGATTATGATTGATTGCAATTGCTAAACAAAGTTATAATTAATAGAAAGGTTTGGATTAAAGTTCATATGAGAATTATTATTATAACATTTTAAAACAATTTAATCAATTAACCATAAATAAATTCTAAATTTCTGAGAAGGAAAGAAGGACATTCATTTTTAAACTTCTCATATAATATATATTGAATCTCAACAAATTTTATAGTTTATTAAAGTATGAATAGATATATCAGTTTTAAATTAATAAAAATTTGGAAATTCTCTCTCTAATACACTTGTATTAATTGGATATAGATTTAAAGACTTTGATTTACTAAAATATTATGATAAATGTGATCATTAAACAGCTTCCATTATTATAATGGAAAACAACATCGCTTTCATTAGTTTTTAGAATTCATTTTTTGAATTAGTTTATGAGTGAATAATTATAACTATCTTAGGAAGAATTATGAAAATCAATTCAATTATTTAGTCATTTGACAATTTAAGTAAACAACTTAAATATCTTTCTATAGATCATAAGCTGTAAACATTAGTATCTTAAAAAAAAAAATATTAAGGTTAAAATCAGGATGAATAATCATATATAGATAGTATATCAATTTTTGTACATTTCTCAATATTATTATTTATTATATAAAATTAGAAATGTTGAAAATCATCACTATGTATAGCAATTCT